GGGATAGTGCTCCGGAGAATGGCAGCTGTTCACCTGTTTTGTACGTTACAGGCAAAGGAGGAAACATAAGGGGGTCGCAGGAAACCCATCGCTGGTAGATGAGGAGGCGGAGAAAGCGAAGGGGGGGCCTCTGGGATTGGGTGAGTGAAATGATGGACACGTGGGTGCAGAACAGTTAGCAGTCCAATTAACACGACAATAACATGAGGGAACTTGTGGTCTCCGCCCTGAGGGGTCTGGAAAAAGGAAAGTTACAAGTTACTCTGACATATGCAAAAAGATAATCGGCTCAATTAAGGTATAGATTGACCTTATCATTTAAGATACCAGCCTAGGACACGACTACCCACCATCACTGCTTTTAGTTGAAGTTTTAATTTCAGACCATCCTTTGGTGACTTTAGGTCTCTGAGTTTGCAAGCCCGCCATGCCGGCCTCCCCTGAGCTGGTCAGGTCAGCATGTGGCCCCTTCCCCATCCACAAGGGGAAGAGAATAAATGGCTTGAGATACATGTCATCTGTGCTGCTCCAGAGCTGTGGGGAGCTCTGACACAGCTGTGAAGCCAAAGACCAGGACAGGAGGTCAGGGTCCCTCTGCTGCCTGCCTGTCCGTACTGTACCACGTCACCGAGACCGCAGCACCTTCACCAAATCCATCAGTGAAACTCACTAAAACTAAAGACAAAACTAAAGAAGTGTGACACCCTTTCATGCGCCTAGAGGAGCCCATGGCCTCTGTTCCTGTGAGACACAGAATGAGGAAAAGCCCAGCGAATGCAGCGTCCCGACCACAACGTCCAGCTTCCTGCAGCGCGAGACGCTGTCATCTACGTGAATCCGGGCGGCCAGGACCTGCTGCTGTGTCCGCCTCACAATTAGCCAGGAAGGGGGAAGTATGTAACTTTGCTGGCGTGGTCCACACTTTTCCATACACCAAATGAGCTGTATTTTTGCATATATACAAATAGACTGACATTGTTAGGGGACCAGCTATAATTATAACAAATATGAATCATGCTCTGTTAACCGAGATTGTTTTGATTGAAGAAAGCAAATTCGAGCCTGACTGGGAGTTGCAAAGGGACCTGGAGCTCCCCTGGAAATGCAGCCTATTCCCGGGAAAGATTAGCAACCTGCTGCGCCTGAGGCACCGCCCTCTGCGCACCCCCAGGCCATTGGGAACCCCCAGCCGCAGAGCCTGTAACGGCCCTTTCTTGTTCCTTTTCCACTTCCCCACGTAATCTTTGTCCTTCTTCCCAATATAAGCGGCTGGCTTCTGGGGGGGCAGACGGCACATCTCTGTGGGGACCTGCTGTTCTCACATGCTGCCGGCAGGATGGGAGTCAACGTTCACATACGATTCAACCCCGGCTCTGCTTAATTGGCTCAGGCAGTGACAGGCAGCCACTGACTGTCCGGTTATAGAATCACATCCTAGTTGTATCTTATTTACGTGAATTCATCTTCTGGACAAAAAGGGGCCACGTGCTCACCTGACTGACTGAGGGAAAGGCCTTGTAAACTCAGAGACCTACAGTAACCACGAAGGACGGTCTGAAATGAAAACCTGTTCATGAAAAAGCAGTTTACAGTGGGGCCTTGACTTACGAGTGTCCCGACTAACAAGTTTTTTGAGATACCAGCTGTCTCTCCGCAGATTTTTTGCATTGAGTTGATAGAGTAATTTGAGTTAACGAGCTCCATAACAAGCTTGGTCTCCGCCCGAATTAAAATTGTAAGTCAAGGCCCCACTGTATAGTGGGTAGTCAAGTTCTAGGCCAGTATCTTCCCTGACGAAGATCAACTTCGATCTTTACTGAGCATCTAAGATAACACACCTGTGAAATACCTAGGTGACTTGTAACTTCCTTTTTTCCGGACCCCTCAGGGACAACAAATGGCCCGGGGCAGAGACCACAAATTCCCTCATTGTTGTTATGGTGTTAATTGGACGGCTAACTGTCCTGTACCCACCTGTCTATCATTTTACTTTTTACCCAATCCCAGAGGTTCCAGCCCATCTTGCTTTCTCCCATCTCCCTCATCTATCATGTAACCCACTTAGGTCTCCTCCTTTGATGGTAATTTACAAAAATAGGTGAAAAAACCACCGTTCCGGAGCACTATCTTCTAGATACATTGAGATTGTTCTTCCTGGCAATTGTCAACAGTCTGGCTCGAATAAACACACACAAATTCTTTACAGGTTTGAATGTTTTTGTTTTTTTCTACATTAACAATCTACATTCAGGCATAAAGGACAAAAATAACTACCTAAAGTATTCAGAATATTTCAGCCAATGAGTATTTGCTTTGGAGTGAGCCTGAGATGGGGAGCGTAAATCTACTCTACCCAGAGGTCTCAGCTTTCACATGCCTCTCCCAGGGGTGCACCTCACTGCAGAGAGCAGAGGTGAGGGCTTAAAGAGGAGTATGTGCTTGGGACGTACAAGTCGGTCCCTAAATACAAGCCATGAATCGTTTGGCCCCACCCTCCCCTTTGCCTGCAGAGGCAGGTTAACCCAGAATGAATGAAGATGGAGCCTCTCCATCGTCCTGGGAGGGACCCTAGCAATTTTGTTACTTACCTTGTATTCTTTTTAAAATATATTTTTATTGATTTCAGAGAGGAAGGGAGAGAGAGAGAGAAACATCAATGATGAGAGAGAATCATTGATTGGCTGCCTCCTGCACACCCCACACTTGGGATTGAGCCCGAAACCGGGGCCTGTGCCCTGACCGGGAATGGAACCTCCCGGTTCATAGGTCAATGTTCAGACACTGAGCTACATCAGCCGGGCTTGTATTCCTTTTTCTTAAAAAGGGTTCCCCAAATGTATACTTTAAGCCCCACAAACCTGCACTCTGGATGTTACACTGGCTGTGGTGGAGTTTTTGAGAGAACACCGTTCCCAAAGGATCTTCAAGAGCCTATTTGGCCTGGAGATGTCCACCTGCTCGCTGACTTCAGAACCTGACCCTGTAGGAGCCCACTGTAGAGGATATACACACCTACCTGCCCCACACGTACTCATAAGCCTCTATAGCAGCGGTTCTCAACCTGTGGGTCGCGACCCCTTTGGGGGTGAAACGACCCTTTCACAGGGGGTCGCCTAAGACCATCGGAAAACACATATATAATTACATATTGTTTTTGTGATTAATCACTATGCTTTAATTATGTTCAATTTGTCACAATGAAAATACATCCTGCATAGCAGATATTTACAGACGATTCATAACAGTAACAACATTACAGTGATGAAGTAGCAACGAAAATAATTTTATGGTTGGGGGTCACCACAACATGAGGCGCTGTATTAAAGGGTCGCGGCACTAGGAAGGTTGAGAACCACTGCCCTAGAGTGAGTTACTCTAAAATGGACAATACACACCTGCCCCTCACGGACACATAAGCCTCTAAACTACAGTGAATCACTCTTAAAACGCAGTACTCATTCCACGCTAAAACCGGCCCGGCCCTCGGACCCAGCACCGCTCCCGCCCTGGGCTCCGCCTACCACCCGGTCCGTCCTGCCCGCAGAACAGCTGGTGCTACCCCGAGGACTCACCCCAGGGCGAACTAAAAAAAGATCCTGCGTCCGCCTCGGGCAGGACCGCTTCCGGAAAAAGGACATCGAGGAGGACGAAGCAGGAGGACTAACGTCACTCACCCCAGAAATGGGTGGACAAGGGCCCCCGCGAGGGTAATTTACCAGCTAGGGGCAGGCCCGAAGCACCAATAGAGCTCTAGCGGCCGAAGGGCCTTTGCCGATCGCCCCCCGGTGCGTCATACCTTACCTCAAAGGTGGCCCGGGGAG